GTCATCAGGTCTTTTTCTTTTTATCTATTCAAAGCAAATAGACATCATTTAAGCAGCAAAGACTTAGTCCTAATCAGCCCCTTTGGAATCCAAGGAGGATTATTTTCTTTATCTTTTCACCAAAATTATGTTTTACATTTATTGGGTAAAAAGATGTTTACCATTGTGTAAAAATTAGGATTTTGGAAGCAAAGAAAAGTTGACAACCTTCAAACACCCACGCAAGTAGCCCCGGAACAGCTGAAAAATCCCTCAGTAATCCTAACGTTTCCATCAATTTGCATGTTCTGTCCAGGTCATCCTTACAAGAGCTCTACAACCCCTGAGAAGGGAGGGAGATAAGTCCTTTGTTCTCAGTCTTATCTTCACCACTACCAGCCCCCCCCCCCCTGTTTTCTTTTAACTCTGTCATTTCTGCCCGAGTGGAAGCAGCCCCCCCCCACCTCCCTCCCCCCCCTGCGACCTGCAGGGCTTTCCATCATAACCTCTGTCACCCGGCCTCTCTCTTCTGGCTTGCAGGAAACTTGAGCCACTCTGGGCCCTCCGGATCTCACATTTCATAACAAAGCAGCACGCTCCTGCTCCGGGATGTGTGGCTCCACTGCTGTCAAAAAGTCACGGCCCACGTCCGTCTTCCTGCTTTTGCGTTTGAAAGCAGTCTGGCCCCTTTTCGTACGCTCATCTTCGGGGGTGGGGGGGTTTGGGAGCCCGGCTCCAGGACGCGCAAAACACGGTCCCCCGAGCAGCCTCTGCGGGGTCTGGCTCTGCGGTGCGTTCACGTGCGTGCACGGAAGTGTTGCAGACCAGTGTGTGTGTGTGTGCATGTGTGTGGCTCTTACCTTTTGCTGTGGGTCCCGGACGGGGTCCTGTCCCTCTGCCTGCGGTTCTTGAACCAGTTGCTGACCTGCGTGAGGGACAGCCCGGTGACTTTGGCCAGGTTTTTCTTCTCGTCCGGAGTGGGGTACCTGTTGCTCTTGTAGCATTCCTTCAAGGCGTTGCGCGACTTCTCTTTGAAGCAGTACACGGTCTCCTCTCCGTCCCAGATGGTTTTGGGCAGCGGGAACTTTTTCCGGAGTCGGTACTTGTCCACTGCGCCCAGGCTGCGGCCCCGGGACCTCTCCGCCTCCTTGTAGCGGGCTTTGAGGTAGAGGTCCTGCAGGAACCCGTGGTTGGACGGGTGGAAGTCGTGGCTCTCCAGGATCGCGTAGAGCTCCTTGAATTCCTCCCGGTGGAAAGCCACCAGTGCCTGGGCCTTGAGCAGGGTCTCGTTGCCACGTAGCAGCTCGGAAGAAGGAGGTATGGTGGATAGAAATCTCCACAGGCGATCCACATTGCCCGCCTGCAGAAGGGCCTCGCAGAGACACGAAACTTGGTCTGTGGAAAAACTCAGAGCCGACTTTTGGAAACTTTGGAGTAATTGCTCCGAAACCTGGACGGGGTCTCTGTCTTCTTTGGATTCCGTTGCCGATGGCTCCTCTGGGCTGTTCTCAGATTGTTCTGTAGACTGTAAAGACAAGGAAGCCATTTTCACTTTAACTTTTTCCACTAGTAGTTCCTCCTCCCCAGTCCCTCCCTCCCTCCCTCCCGTCCAAAGCCAACCGACCTCACCATGAATGCGCCTGCAGACCCTCGCCGGTCACGCCCCTTTGGAAGAAGTCATATTTATACCTCAGTTTGCTCTAAATTTGCTTCAACGCCTGCTGGGGTTTTACAGAAAAGGTTTCCCCTACGCTCCTTGGTTAAAAAAAGGATTCTCCACTGCAGTTTTAACAAGAAAAATATCCCCTGGCTGTGAATAATAATTAAATACACTAGATAATAGACATTCTGAGTACAGCCTCAGTTTAGCATCTAAATTGTTCAAGTACTAAATGAAATGTTTGAGCAAAAGTACAGAAAAACACAAAGGAAAAAAACACTGTAAAATCAGACTAAATTTTTTTATTTTATTTTACGATTTACTATGAAATAGAAAATAACATGAACACATGGTGCTTCAAGTCACACCTCTATCTCCATAGTTTTTTTTTCTCACAATAAATGTATGAAGGAAAAAAGTTAATAGCTCAGGTAAAGCATTTTGTCTGTTAAGTAGATATTAGATTTTTATGAAAAAGGGCAGAAGTCCAGTTCCATTTTCTTCATTTTTAAAAAGTAAACAAAACACAGTAACGTTGGAAATGGTCCACAGCTTTTCATGCCATATAATAAATGAGTTTTTAGGTTTTAGGTTATATATTAATAAGATATTGTGAATTAAGTTTGGTCAATATGATTTTTCTATTTGTTTGGGTTAAATTTACTTGAGATTTAGCTTTTTCTAAAACATGTCATGAGTCTGAGATGTTTACTGTCCATACAAACAGATTCAAAAGGGTCTAATGTTTTTATTCCTATGCTTTCTATGTTGGATTTGTGCATCAGTAGATTACTGCAAGACTTTGTTCGAAAAAAGTCCTTTCAGGAGACCAGAAACCCGAGGTGAGTGAGCAGATTCAGGGTGCTCGACTTTGTGTGCAGGTCTTAACCTGAACCAGGTAAGAGGCATATGCCCTCTCCTGATTTGAACAATTTGATCTGCAACCAGAAGATAACATTTGAATTTGACCAGGCAGGTTTTCAGACCTGTAGGAGATCTGTAGGAATGTAAATGTCCTCTGTGGGCATGCTGGCTGAGGGCTTGTCTCACGCCCCCCCCCCCCCAGAAATATCTCAAGCCTTTTGATTGCAAAATAAACTTTCAGTCTCTCTCTTACTACCGTCTGCTCTTTTTGCAAATCAGCAGGGTCAGCATGACGAAGAGAATTATGCCTTTATTATGTCAATAAGTGTTTAAAAATCCATCAATTTTGGTTAAGGTTGTTTGAAATAGCGTACAAATATGTGATTTGGATTGGACTTTAGCGACCCCTTGTGGCTGTTAGATGGTACATTTAATTCCGGTCTGGGAGTGGTCCTTTCAGTCTACGGTTTCCGGAATACCCCTTTCGCTACGGGATTCTATTGGTTTAGCTGCTGTATTCTCGAATGCGATTGGTGTGTCGTGTTCGAGGCGGGTAGAACCTTCCAGAGCAAGGCGTAGCAGGAACCGATGTTTGGGATTTCTGACTATTACAAAGCAAAGCTTTATACACCGTTTCTCCCCGTTACTTCACCAGTGTTGTCATGGGTTCTTAAGGTGTAAGGTAAACGCATTGACAAGCCGAAGGATTCCTCCAACATTTGTTAATACTAACGAAGAAAGAACACACATTTTGTAAGTGACGACGACAACATTGTAATGTATCTGTGGGTCCAACGTGACTGTTGCTACTAGCTACCGGAGCGGCTTGCTAATCTAAACCAGCTAACTGAATTTAGATATTTTAAAGTGATTAAACGTGATGTTTTGTCTAAATGCGATTATGCAATTCACTCTCAATGGCTAGAAGTGATACGTTGGTACCAAACGATCAGATTAAATTATTGAGGTTATTTTTAAGGGGTAAAGGGAAAACTGTTACGTAGACTTAGATACGCAGTCTGTCTGAGCAGTCCATCTGCAATACTTTGGAAAAAAACTAAACATAGTTCAATGTTAAAGGTTCTAGAGTAAAACATTTTTTTATTTTCTGCAGAGTCTCCCAACCCCGGCCCTGAAAGCACATGTTTTCATTTGTCACATTATGTCTTTGCCTTTCTAGTTCTTCACCATCAACTGAGTCTAAACAGAGTCCAGGATGGACAGCGGAATAACAGTAGTCACCAACCCCACTGTGCACGTGAGGATAACTAGCACCCTCTCCTCCTTTGAGGTGCAGCGTACCTTCAACAGAGGGATTACTGTTGCAGAACTGAAGGTGAGACTGAAAAAAGACGTCATAAATAGGGTCTTTTGACAGTCATCCTAACATCTGATGTGCCTAATTAAATGATTATATGCCCCATCTCTTTCTGGTCAGTGTTGTTTTATATCTGCTATTTCACTGTATTCTCACCAGGGGAAACTGGAGCTTATTGTGGGTGTACCTTTGTCCTTCATGGATCTGGAGATTTTCGGTGCTGCTGACAAGTTTTTACAGAAAATGGATGACAATGAAGCATTACTTGGTTCATATCCTGTGGATGATGACTGCAGAATACATGTAAGTACACGTGTTTGTGATAAAACACTTATAAAACTATCAAGATGTTACTCTTTTCAATTTTACAAAGGTTTACTAAATGTGTAAACATTAAAATATTCAAACACTTCAAAAAAACTTGTTTAAGTCTGGTAGAAGGTTTCTGTTAGTGAAAATGTTTAATGTCGAGATACCATGTGCTGCCCTAGCTTCCCTTATCAACAGTTTTTGGACTGATTTTTTACTTTAAATTGAATTCCTTTCACAGGTTCTTGATAGAAGTGGAGGTCAGGTGGGTGAGCTCTTTGATGTCTCTAAAGTGGAGAAGTTTGAACTCACTGACGACGCTTACGAGAAAAGGACAGGTACTAGTTTCCTTCAGTTTGTTATTGTCTGAGCTGTTTTAAGTTGTGCACTGCAGCCCTTAAATGTTCTTAAAATGTCATTTGGCAGTGGCAAATGTAAACCAAAATGTCTGGGACATTTTGCGGATTCCTCATAAAACTCAGATTTTATTTTGAATATTGCCCGAAACATGAATATTGTAGATGGCTGAAATTTTGAAAATCAATTATTGAATATTAGTCAGCGGACACAGACTGGAACTGGATGAACAAATGGTAAAAGAAAGAGATGGCCAGAAAATCCTCCATATGTTGCTCGCTCTTGTTTTGTTGATTCTCTGCAAATGTTTAAAAAGCTGAATGAAGACCTTTTCCTCCAGAATCAGCACGGTCATTTATGAAGGAAAAGCGAGTCGGTCGCTTCAATGAGGAAGAACAGGCCAAGAAGAAAGCGGAGTCCGCTGCTCGGGAAGCAGAGCAAAAGGCTGCTGCTGACGCCATTTCTGTTGGCAGCCGCTGCAAAGTGGAGGTCCCCGGCCAGCCCACTAAAGTCGGCATGGTCATGTATGTTGGTAAGTGGTAAGAAAGCATGGGCGCATTCATTTAATGCTACAGAAGAGATTGGTGTTATTTATAGATCTGAAGAGAATAAATGCACTGGATTGTTGACATAAAAAATTTTTTGCAGACTGCTGCCGTACCATTGTCAGTTAATCCGGTGGCATCTCTCTGTTGTCGATTATTTCCCAGCAGCATTTCTGTACAGTTATTGTGCAGTTTGACTCGACAGAAACACACAAGTGTTGCTGTGAAGCTGCTGCAGCTGCACTCAGCAGCAGAAATGCACGATAGGATGCAGACTGGTTATTCACAGTTATCTGACTTATCATATTATTTGGGACAAAACAGCACTGTCCAAACTTCTCATCTCCTTTTTTTCCCCCAGTCATGATTAGCTGTAGCTGCTGCTAAACCATCCGTCAAATTTATATCAACATCTTAAATAGTTCCAATTTCTGTTAAAAACCCTACTTTTATCTATGCTGGTGCTGTGGTGGATTTAAAACTTTACAATAATATGTGACTTTAAACAAGCTTAAAACAAATAAAAGGGAACATTGAAAACCTATGCACTGTTATAAATTCGGAAGAGCAACATGATTATGATTTGATCAAAGGGGTACTCATTAATTAACTTATTAAGTCCGTATGAAATAAAATAAATTATGGAAATTTGACAAGGAACAGCATGCCATTGCTCCAAAGCTTTAGGTAAACTGCTTCCACACAAACATGCATTTGCAGACGATATATTTAGCTAAAACTGGAATTTTTGTGTCTATAATTGCAAATTGTGCATGGTGCTCGAGTGAAAAATGATAGACATGAATGAAATGTGTTTTCCCATTCAAGCAGCATGTTTTTGTGCTGCTGCCAGTTCCTGTAGGCTTTGAGCCTGAATTTGTGTCATTCCATGTGCTTAGAGGGTCATTTCTGTTGCAGGTACAACTGATTTCAAACCAGGTTACTGGGTCGGTGTGAGGTATGACGAGCCCTTGGGAAAGCACAATGGAACGTAAGAACATCCTGTCTTTGTTCATTTGTCTACACTGTTTGTTTAGTTTTTCTATTGTGGAGGCAATGCTTGTGATCCTATTCTTAACATTTTTCTGTTCTTTCTATTTTTGTCTCCACAGTGTAAGTGGGAAGCAGTACTTTGAATGTGAGAACAAATACGGTGCGTTTGTGAAGCCACTAAGTGTGAAGGTGGGAGACTTCCCTGAGGAGGATTACGGTTTAGATGAGATTTAGGACATTTTCAATGTATTGTTGCTTTTTCTTTGTCTCTGCGTTTGGCTCAAAGTTTAAGTGCCAAGCTCAAAGTGTTACCGGCTCAGCTGCTGAGGGGATGGATAATAATTTTACTGTGACAAAGATTTTTTTTTTGTGCTTCTGTAGCGGGCATGATCCAAAGGCCCTTTAGCTTCAAGTTCTCTACAGACTTCAGACTGATTGTAACACAATAATCACAGAAGGGGAGCTCAGACTAACAAAACTCAACAAATATTTATTTTTTCTCTTTTTAATAGGATTAATATTCTGTTCGGTTCTGTTATTCTATAATAAACCTAATTCACTATTTGTCTTTCATAATGTAATTCCAGTTACCCTCAGTGTGTTTAAATGTGTTTATAACTCACTTTAGTCTCAGCATATTTATGTTTTGTTGACTGTAGAATTTTATCCAACTGTCTGTTGAGGGAAATTCACCCTTGCAGACTTTGCTACCGAAATAAAAATTGGCATTGCAGCGTATTCTTACTACCTACGTCCCTCCAAAGAAGTTCAATAAAACGCCTAGTCGTATCATTTCCAGTAATGACTAACTAAGCTGTTGTAATCAGTGTCTGACTTAGCAAACTTATCTTTCTCATGATGCTGTCTGTTTACATATCGATTTTATTGACACAAAACCTTAAATATGTGCCCAAGAGTAGATAGTTCTACTCCTAAAATTAATTTGTTGTGTGTTGGAAATCACTTTCAACTTTCTCACTTTCTTTGTAAATGTGATATGATTTTCTATTACTTTTCTCCTTTTGTCTGAAAATGCCGTTGTCTGAGCTTGAACGTGTCTTTGATTTGTACTGAAATTGATCTTTGGATATAATTAAATGTAATCTCCATGCTTTTAATCCATGATTTAAATCGTCTTGTGTGCACGTTGATATGAAATAGCAAAAATCTGTCACTTTTCAATGTATATTCCACTGACTATCTCTTGATTCTATACAATCTTCAGGATACCTGGAAATGAAACTAAAGTCAACTCTTTATATTTAATTTGTGTTAAATATCTCCTTTCTTTTGTGACATGGGATTTGGGGGAGATGTGAAATATGAACTGATTGGTTTAGTTTTCCATTTTGAGTACAACTCTTAAAAAAACAAGTAAATCTACTAGATAACAGCAACTCTGATTTGAGCATCCTTACTGCTCACTGCCACGATAACCTGGCATAACTACATCACTCAGCTCTGGAATTTGTGCATTTAAAAAAAATGTTATGCCTTGTTTATTTTTGTGAAGGAAATCAAGAAAGTCTTTTGTTCGTTTTAGTCCTTTGAAATGCACAGAGGAAATATTCACTGCATTATTGTCTTCAGAACGAAATGTCTATAAACTCCTTGATGATCTCTGAGTTGCTGGCGTTACAATGTGCCAAAAAGTAATGCATAATAATAAAAACTATTTGAACACAGGTTGTCAGGTTGATTTAATTTATTTGACTGGTTGTTAACATGGTTACCTATACTCTGTTTATATATTTCTTCTAGTTTTATAGCTGCTTGCACATCCAGTTTGCACATCCATGATTTTCGATTCTCAAGATGTATACGAATCCTTTCTAATAGTTTGCACATATTAGACATGTTACGCATTTGGAATTCCGTCAGTGATCATATTTGCTTGCTTACAAACTTTGGTATGCATATAATAGATCACATTGTTGGAAATTTGAACAAACAAATTGCCAAATTTTAGCCAGCTTGACCTTCATAGTAAAGAATTATGAGACAGTGTAATTTGCATTCTCCATACAATCAATGAAGGAGTTTTTTTGTTGATAGACTAAGTTTGGATGTATTATCCGATCACATCATGAAATAATAGTCTTTACATCTTGCAAGTTTACAAGTATAATTTTTAAGCACAAAAACAATATCCCAAAGAGTTCAATCCATTCTGATTGGTTATTTATTGTTAATGGCTAGTCACATAGAGACGTGGATAATTTGGAGTATTTCTTAGAGTTTCATAATTCCGCTGTCTAAAAAAAAAATCAGCTTTCAATAATTAAAATCAAGTTTTCCCTTCGAGATCGTACGTCACCATACGTCACCATGATGCTTGGGCTGGCCTCTCGCGAGACTAAGCGCGGTTTCCGAGCCAGTACTGTAGTGCGTGCGCGATAGAGACGAGGAAAGATGGCGACACAGGGGAGCGAATCAACTAAAGAGACCGTGAGCAGTAGCAACGGCGAGGTAAAATTAATGACACTTTTTCAGCGGGTATCAGTTGTCACCTCCGGAGAATTTCCAAATGTGCTCATTTTAGCGAAGTGCGTCAGATGGTTAACATTTAAACGGTTTAATTATTGTTACACGAGCCTCAGTGACGTTGTCGGTGCCGGTTGGTTTTAAAACCAACTGCCGCTTACGATGTGTTGAGAAATCCTGATTGTTAACGAGTGGAAGCACCGACGGAGTGTTGACGGGGAAACTGTACGTGGAGAAATCTATGAAAATAAGAGGAAGAGGGGAAACGAGCTGTCTGGAAGTGTGAGCCAGCTGAATACCGCAGCGTGACAGTTAGCTATCACAAGGCCCGAACCTGAACAGCGCAGCTCGACTTGACTCGAAGGGGCCAGTCACTGGCAGCTCCCATTCATTTCTAATGTCTTATTAAATCTAATCACCTGATGTAAACGCTCAACTCTGGGCTACACACATCGTCTCTAAACCGCAGAGTTGACGGAGCAGCACAGCTTATTCATAGTGACGATTTGGGATAACAAAGTGTAGACCATCATGATGCCCTTTCCTTGGAAAATAGAAATATTATGGCAACAGCAGCTGTACGCATAGACAGATTCCCAAAGAGACCACAGAGGTCAACAGCTCCTAGGGCTATCCTGTAGATTTGTAGAAAAAACAAATGGAAAACATTCTACTACATATATGTATATATAGTAGTATATATAGTTGATGTAAAATAGCAAAAGGATAGATTGGCTAAATTGACAGGATGAAAGAACGATCCTAAAAGGGTAGATTATCAAATTAAACGGATGGATGGATAGTTGCTCATTACAAATGATCAAAGGTCAGCATGTATCATAATTTTCTGGAAGCAAACTTGTAGCCTCTCTTGTACTCAAAGCCTCAAATAATCAAATTCATAAAACTAGTCATGCACTGAAGTTCCAACAACCATTCATCTGCACACAGACTTTAAAACTCAGTTCAACTTGAATTTGGAGTGTTTAGATTTTCTATAGTTTGTATGGTTCCAGTTTGAGTTTATGTTTCAGCTGTATTCTATCAAGTCGGAATGCTATTTGTAATTTTCAAAGGCACCAAAGATAAAATATTGTCTCAAATTGGGTATTTCATTTGCCAGATAAAGAGGGTTCTCTAATATAGGCTCTAACATTTTTGTCATCCCTTTTTTTCTTTAGCTCTTTAAGAATGAATCCTGCAGAAAATCACATTTAGTTATGGTTTTCTTTAATATGAATACTCATGTGGTAAAAAAAAAAACACTTGGGTTAGGGTACAGTATGTACCAAGAGTATCTTTCACAATAAGGCTGTTCTGTAAGTAAAAATGCACTAAGTGTTTTAGGGGGAAAGCGTGTGGACCTATTGGGACACAGTGAAGGTGAAGCTTTTTGGTCACCAATGATCATACATGGAGTCAGTAAGTAGTCAGATATAACCATGGGTGTCTGGTCCAGTTAGACTGTTATTATAGTGTCTTCGGCACAACACACAAGCGTAAATGTTTCTTGTATTATATGGTGAAAGGTGGCTGTCATTGTCAGGATGACGGTCAATTTGTGGCACAGACTGAGGGGTTTTTGCTGTCTTTTAATTATTGGGTTTGCATTGTTTTAAGGGATGCTGACGCCATTGTAAACATTACCAATAAAATCTCTTCTCTATGAGCAGTTCATACATCTGAACCTTTTCGGGAACAATTCGGTGTGAAGCACACACTCTGAACCCTGTGGTTCAATATGTGGTTAAATATTGACTCTTACTCGGGAGTGTAAAATATTATCTTAAGCCAGGGGAGATAACCTGTTTCTGCTCTTGAGGTTGTTAGTGATTTTTCTGAGAGGTTATTGCAGCGAGGCCTCAGGGACACAGAGGTCCATGTTTCTGATAATAGATTAGCTTCTAATTTAACACAGCAGGACATGGCCGTGAGGATGGAAAGCCCTATTTTGAGCTTCTTCACATCCCTGAACTGTGTTCTGTTTATGTTAAAGGGCCAGTATCGCCCCACAAACCTTCACATATGCGGTGCTCATTGATTTACAGGCCCTCGCGGCACCTTCATGAACAATAGGCTGTTTTAACAGAAAACATCTTTTAGCCTGAAGTTTCTTTTGTTTGAAGGGGCCAACGGCTGCTCCCCCCTCTGCTGATGACAACAGGGGAGATTAGATGTTTAGATAGTGAAAAAGTCTCATGACTTGGCATGTGCTTGTCTATTGTGTCATTTGAATAGAATGTGGCCTTGCCAGAGGGGTGGAGGGGTTACATGGATAAGCCAAAGCTTGGAGAGAAAATACTCTCAAAGAAAATGAATTATAGATTTCTAGTGATATCACTTTATTTATAAAATCTTTTTAATAGCTAATTGCAAATTGGCAGGTTGTTGTATGAGGTCACATAATAAAGTCTGGAGCCAAGTGTCTTTTTCTTCTTTTGTCTCAGGTGTACATTTTTAATCTCAGGAAACGCACCCTTCATATTTTTTCTTTTAAAATTAGTATTCATCATTTTAATTCAGTCCTATCACCACTTTGGGCTTTTACCAAAGTACACTTAAATTGGACTAGATGGGGGGGCTCCCTTTTGCTGCCAACGGAGCTGCTCTGCCTGACCCGACGCTACTGCTGCTTCATCATGGTGCTTCTGTTTTTTGGCCACAATTACAATGACTAATTTTTGCTTACTCTTGGCTCTAGGTCAGCAGCAATGGGACTGCTTCAACAACAGACAGCCTGGCTGCACAGACGGATGGAAACGTGCAGGATCCTCAGCAGCAGCAGCAGCAGCAGCAGCAGCAACAACCACCGAATGCGTGGCAGGTCATTAAAGGAGTCCTCTTTAGGTGGGTTGACTGGTTCTCATTCTGCCAGACTCCTTGTCTCTTCACAAGCAGAGCACCTGCCCACAGATGGAAGCTTACTGTGACGCCATGGATTTAATGTTTAACAGAATTCATTATATAGTAATGGTGTTGAAAAGGGGGGTGATATTGTGCTGAACCGCTGCTGTAGCTCACATGGTATGAGCTGTTCTTACTGTTATACATTTCTTTTGAGGCAAAACTGATTTCCCATGTAAAATGGAGTGAATTCAGAGCTAGAACCATTGCAGATGAAACCTTATGTAGCTAGTTAATTACCTACAAGGAATCGTAAATAAATGTGGGAGAAAACACTGATATTACCTAAAGCTTATCTCAGACGTGACCCATCGGCTGGCAGTTTTATATTTCTGCTAGGAAATGAGTGTGTTCTGCATCATGGATGAAGAGATAGTGACTCATGCCATATGTCAGATCATTTTTATCCAGAAAGTGAAACCAAGATCTTATCTTATACGTTTGGAAGCTTCTGTTGGCCTGATGTGTGTCTTGTGCCACAAGCCCTCAAATGTAATATTTAAAAACAAATGTGTTTGTCTTATGATTGTTTCTGGTATAACAGTTCCACTGAATATGTTGATCACTTAACACCTGTCACCCCATAGTCATGTAAGAATGCCATCTCATTTAAAGTCTGCGTGCAATGCAGTTTAACAGGACACATTTCAATCTGATAAGTCTCATTCTGACTGAAAAACTTAGATAAAATCATTTTTTATTTCCCATGTCAATGTTGTTCTAAATGTTTGTCCTTCCAGAATCTTCATAATCTGGGCCATCAGTAGTTGGTTTCGCCGGGGGCCATCCACTCCTGACCCCAACACACCAGCGGGTGCCCCCAGACTTCCCAGCAGGAATCTATTCCCCAAAGACACGCTCATGGTATTAGACCCGTTCTCCTGGTAGAGTTGCTCCACTCAGGGGTCTACATTCCTGAGAATCTCTCATACTCTGATCCCTTCTTGAGCAATGTGTCGCTTAGCCCGACTGCCTGGGTCTCTCCTGACACCTTAATGTGATCAACGCCTTTTTATTTTCTCACCATGCCTGCAGGACCTGTATGTGTACGTGTCCCAGGAGGAGGTGTTCTCTGACTTCAACAATACAGATGCCCTGTTCTGGTTCCACAGGGACCTGGTCTATGGAGACTGGAACACGGGGGAGACTGGAGATGGCTGCTATCATCACTACAAGGATTTGGACGTCCCAGAGGTGGGGCTGGCTGAGGGGCGAGGGGGGGCGCAGACAGAGGGTTTTGGAGGGTTTGGCAGGCAGTAGTACGTCAGTGGGGAGGAGCTGGCATGAGCTCAGAAAGCAGGAGATGGATGGTAGTGAAGGGTAGCAAAGACTACTCAAGAGTTAAATTGATGGATTGTGTCCGAAACTCTTAACACCACGTCCTTTTTGACTTTCGTTGGCAGAAGGTGCAGCACAACGGCTCCCTATACATACACATCTACTTCACTAAAAGTGGGTTCCACCCAGACCCAAAACGCAAGGGGCAGTACCGCCGACTGGCAACAGTTCATTCAACGAGAAGTATGAATCCGCAAACCCGCTCAAGTTATAAGAATGACACGTCTGATGCCTTCTTGTTCTTAACACTTATTCTCCTCATCAGTGCTGAATAAATTCAAGAGAAGAAAGTTTCTGAAAACCAAGAATCTCCTCACAGGAGAAACAGAAGCTGATCCAGAAATGATTAAGGTTAATAGTATTTTTGTTTCTCTCTTTTTTACTTAGTTTTTTTTTTTTAAAGCATAACAATTGTTGAGTGAAAATGGTCAACTTTGACCATTTGATTATTACCACATCAGTCTGATCCATTTGTTTTAAATTGTTTCTGCTTCGGAAGAATAATGTTAAAATATGAAGAAGCTGGAAGGAATATTTTATTAAAGACAGGCTACCCCAGCAGCTTGTTTCTGTGTATCATATTCAGCAATTATGTCCTTTTTGGGATTTTTTCGCAGTCAGTTACTTGATATTTGTGTGTCTTTTGCAACGACTTGCTCAATAAACCCGTGTTTCCTCACAGCGAGCAGAGAGCCACGGTCCAGTGGAGATTATCTCACACTGGCACCCCAACCTCACCATCAACATGGTGGATGACCACACGGCCTGGGTGAAAGGCTCTGTTCCTCCCCCTCTGGACCAATGTAGGTTTTGGTAAACAGTCCCTGCTGCTCCACAGCATCCTGCTGGTTTTAGTGTTGTTCAACTCTCACTCTTCTTCACTGTCCGATCCTAGATGTGAAGTTCGATGCAGTCAGTGGCGATTACTACCCCATCGTATACTTCAATGACTACTGGAACCTGCAGAAGGACTACTACCCCATCAATGAGACGCTGTCCCAGCTCCCGCTGCGCCTCAGCTACTGCCCGCTGTCCCTGTGGCGCTGGCAGCTGTATGCCGCCCAGAACGCTCGCTCACCGTGGAATTTCCTCCCAGAGGACACTTACGAGCAGTCGGATGAGGACCAAGACTCTGTCAAGGTGCGCCCTCAAAGCTTAGAAAGTTGGGAGGGGGGGCGGAATACGAAAACGATGAAGTACGTCCTTCATCATGAGCAACAATAATTTCTCCAATTTGTTTGCTGTTCTGGAAGTAAATTGTGAACGTACCTGAAAAAAGAGCACGGTCATTTGGTCGTAACAGATTAAACTAAGTGTTTTCCAGACGTTATGAGGCTTCTAAAATTGTGTGTCTTAGTCTAAAGTTCCTCAACTGTAAAATAATCTAGCCTTTGACTGTGTGGAAAGTTTTAAGAAACTTTGTACTTTTTAAAATTTATTTATGTTTTTATTCAAAGGTCGCCCTTTTGGAAACCAATCCCTACCTGCTGGGACTCACCATTGTGGTCTCCATTGTGCACAGCATCTTTGAGTTTCTTGCCTTCAAGAACGGTAAGTTCCAAGCAGCCGAACCTTTTCAAGAATTTTTATTTGAAACCAAAGACAAAAAACACAAAGCGATTTGACCTCGGCTCTGTTTCCACAGACATCCAGTTCTGGAACAGCAGGCAGTCACTAGAAGGCCTCTCTGTGCGCTCCATCATATTCGGAGTGTTTCAGTCTCTAGTGGTTCTGCTGTACATTCTGGACAACGAAACGAACTTCGTTGTGCAGGTCAGCGTCTTCATTGGTCTCCTGATCGACCTGTGGAAAATCACCAAGGTCATGGATGTCAAAGTAAGTCCCAAAAGTGCACAGTATAAAACGATTTAATGCTTTGTCATTTATTTGTGGAAAGATTATTTTGAGCAGCTAGTTTTAACCTAAATATATGATTATATCATGTTTTTTTTTGTTTGGACTTTCAGTCATATATGCATTAAATATGCTGAAAGATGACCTAACATTGTGGTACTTTGTCCTATTATGCTGCTGCTACTTTATCCCAGTAACCACCTGCTGTTGCCTTTCTTTTAGTTGGACAGAGAGAACAAAATTGCGGGAATAATTCCAAGATTGGTGCTCACAGACAAGTCAACATATGTGGCGTCTTCAACCAAAATCTATGATGATGTGAGTTCAGTCGGCACTCGAAGGACGTTGTCTTTATGGCAGATCGATCATTGAACACTCAACCTTTCTTCAGAAGAGCGTGTTAAATATACATGTGTGCCACAGGCGAATGATTGAACTATTTTGACCAAAGTCATTTCATCCTTTTCTCTCTTTCCTTGGTAACAGATGGCCTTCAGGTACCTGTCATGGCTGCTCTACCCTCTGTTTGGCTGCTATGCGATCTACAGCTTATTGTATGTAGAGCACAAAGGCTGGTACTCATGGGTACTCAGCATGCTTTATGGCTTCTTGTTGACCTTTGGTAAGTTTGTCTGAAGCATTTAAACACTGCACCACATATTGTTTATCGTCTTACGTGGTTACAAGTTAAAAAATGTGGTGCGTTTAAAAAAGGATTCTTGCTGCATGTGAATCACACGTCACTTTCACTTGTTAACGGATTGCAGATGTTACAAAGCAGTAAATAAAACCTGAAAATATACGTACAATTTGCCGTAAAAATCTCAACATGAAGGAGTTCTGTCATGAAACCTTTTAGATTGAATCAGTTAGGCACACACCGGCTTTAACTTGTTCCTTTTAATGGGAATTTAGACAAAACCTTTTACTCCTGTAACTACCTGTCTTTTCTTCGGGGCCCTGTTTTTTGCCTCTTTATTTGGACCTTTTTTAAAGTTTTGTAAAGCAGATTAGTCTGACTGCCTCTATCTGTTGTCTTAGTGTTTGTGCACACAGCTAATGTTTTGGTCCTTGCATCATGGTTACATACCCGGCTCCCACGAGCCTCTGCTCAGGTGCTGTGTGTTTTTTTTAGATGTGCACAGGCACTCAGTCCTGCTCCCTGCTGGTCATTTTTCTGCCTGCGGTGGTGGAACTGTTAATGTAACCTGCCTAACTCCATCTCTGCTCTGCTCTGGTTCTTAGGTTTCATTACGATGACGCCACAGCTGTTCATCAACTACAAAATGAAATCTGTAGCCCACCTCCCATGGAGGATGCTCACCTACAAGGCTCTCAATACTTTTATTGATGACCTGTTTGCCTTCGTCATAAAGATGCCCATGATGTACAGGATAGGATGCCTCAGAGATGGTGAGTCCTCCTATATCTCCATACCCATCAGGGGAAGTAAAACACTCACCCAAAACACGTGCATTTAATGTCTTCTGGCAGCATCTTAGAGGAAGCATTTTGAGCGGGAAGCCTGTAGAGGAAGATGAAGCGATTAGCTGCTGGTGCTTCATGATTCCACCCGTTGCTTGGCATCATGGCAGCCGAAGCAGATGACTTTATTTGTTTAGAGGAAGCTGTGGTTTTGCTGTTGTCACACTGATCAAATAAGAAGTGCAAGACCATTTCCTGTTATTGTGTTTGACCAACTGTACAAATCCCCATGTTCCCCATAGTTGTGTCATAATATTCATTGTTATTTATCCTCCAACCCCACCTTAAAACTGACTTCATATCACAATAGCACACATTTTTACATCTTTTACACAGACGGCCTTCTTTCTTGTTCTTGTGTGAACAGCAGCTGTGTTTCATCCCACATTTGATACACTTCAGACTTGCTTTGGTGTTTTAATACCTTTCATCTGTCCAGATGTGTTTGATGATACAAAAGGGCTGTTCCTTATAACTGGAATTTTCTATCAGAAAATAGAATAATGGATCTTTACAAACGTTCCCCTCCTGCAGATGTGGTGTTCTTCATCTACCTTTACCAGCGCTGGATCTACCGGGTGGATCCAAACAGAGTCAATGAGTTTGGCACGAGCGGAGCGGACCCATCTCAGAAGAGCCCAGCAGACGCTGCTCCCGTGGAAGATGCCTCCACCGCCGCCATCACAGAAAAAGGAGAGGGGGAGAAGAAGAACGATTAATCAACACCTCGCACTTACTTTCCTCCCGTGCCCTGGCTGCTGGGGGTGAAGAGGACTCTTGGAAATTAGGCACAGAGGGGAGGAGGTCGTTTAGCTGTCATGGACGCGGCTCCGGGAAAAAAAAAAAAAAAGAGAGAGAGAAAAAGAAAAAAAGATGCAGTTCAGCTGTCTGATCCTCTGATCTCTGTGTGGGTCCACAGAGAATCATATTCAGTGTAGACTTGGTAAATTCTGACTGTTCCCCCCCCACCCCTACCCTCTCGTTTTGCAGTTCAAGTGAAGTAAAACAAAACGTGATGTACTGTTTTCTGTATGATTTTTTTTCAGAGGGTAACAGTGTCTTGGAGTAGATGTTGGGAGGGGAACAGGTTTCAGTTATACTACTTTTTTTTAATACAGAGAAGCAAGAGGCCAAGTGCGACCTTTGATCTTTGTGTAGATTCCTTGTGAAATTTTCTTTTCATTCCATGTGAGCACCGTGTTTTGGGTTGCCTGGACACTGGTGTGTGGTGCTGGAGGAAAACTGGAAAGGTCCCGAGCCACATTGGAGGCCAAAGGAGAGAGTTGGTGACTGGAGACATGACGGAGGACCCTGCAGAGCACTACCCACGAGACGTTGACTACTACCCTCAATTTTAAAGAAATGGTTATTGATCTAAACTTGAACAGAAAAAAAAATAACAGCCTTGTTGGTATTGATATAAATATATTAATATTGTCAATGATATAATTTAGTTTTTTTCAGTCACTGAAGCATTCTTTTGTATGTCCTCAAACTGTACAGACTTGTGTTAATAATACTGATGTCCAAACTGTCTAGCAGCAGATCATTTGCAAGTCTGGTTTTTATTTTCCCCTCAGCTGGAAGTCTGATTTTCCAATTGTTTCATCTTCATGCTCCAAAACAGAACACTTTGGCCAACATGAGAGTCAGGTGTGTGCTGAAGGATTACAGTGTCTCTTGCTTTGTTTTTGTTTTTTATTTTGAGTGCTGTAAAGCCTGAAAGTAAAAGAGTTCCATGTTGGTACATATTAAAATTTTGAGCATTCATGTTTATAGTAAAACTAAGTGTGATTTAAAATGTCTATTCAAAGCTTTATTTTCCAGTCTTACGTCCGCTTTTTCTGATATTCAAAACAATGTTTTTTTGCTTGAAAGTGATTAATAAGTTTAGGCTCTAAATACAGTGCCTGTGCTTTAACAGGAAATGCAGATATATGGAGCCCTTGGATCATGTTTTAAATTATTATCACACAGATGGGTTATTGATTCATTTTGTAAGGAAGTTCATATAAAGCATAGGAAAACAAAATTAACCTGAAACACTGACTTCAGCTTTGGGAAATTTCTTGACTGGTTTATTTATTAAACCCATTTACAGCACCAGAGCCGCCTAAAGTACTTTACAGTGTAATGGTTTCAAAGGTGTTGCCAGTACTAAGGTTTAGGTGATAATTTAGGTGAAAACACTTTTCATAAAATGCTGAACAGAGAGGTACAACCTACCACATCAGACTCTGAAATAAACCATCTCATAACAGCAACAAAAGAGGTTTGAGAACCCAAAACATTATAAAATACTTAGATCTGAACAGGAATGACAGTTAAATGCAGGGTGGTTGCTTTGTGTGCAAATGACTATATTTTGGAAATGAATATTATGATTCCAAACATGGCTTTCATCCTCAAACTAAGTATTAGACCTGAGAAAGCTGGTTGCAAGTTGTGTGAGGTTGGATCGGGTCAGGAGCAGCATGCAGCAAACTGGGAGGAAGTCATGCTGATGGTGTGTTTGGCAGCACATCTGGATATCAGGGAGCATGCATAACGCTCATTCTTCATCCTTTGCGCAACATCTGGCTCAGATTTCTTAACATCTGAATTTTGTTCAACCCGTGGGACCAAAACCAAGCCCACCTGCAGCTCTGCCACTGCATGTGAATGAACTGTCAACCTTAACAGCAAACCTTTGTCAATTTCTGAAAATTCTGTCCGATTTGTGAGTGACTGTGTGTTGTTTTTCTTGTACTTTCGGATCAGCGCCTATCGTGTATTGTTCCAAATGTAAAAGTGTCCGTTCAGAGCATGAGGCGAGGTTGAGCAGACAGCAGACAGCTTCCTCTAAATCCCTCATGTTTCGCTTTCCGTTTCCTCTAACTTGCCTTTGGCCGCTGCGACCGGCAGAGGGCGCTGCGGAGGCCCGACTCCCCTGGTCCAGGCCCAGGCTCCTTTACCGCTCACCCGTGCAAGATGGTCATTAATTAAACATCGACAAGTGGAATTATTGTTGAGAAAGTTTGAGACTCTGGGGTTTTCTGTCGACTTGGTGGAAACGGGTGAAAATATATTTTTTAAAAAGCAGGATAGTGGTCTGACGCAAAAAGGAGAAATACCTACAGCACGTGCTGTCGGGGGCAGCTTAGATGTGGAGAAGCGTGCACGGAAGATGGCATCATCAGCGCAGGTTGGAATCGCTCCAAGCAGATTTACTCTGCGGTGACGAAAGATGAAAACAAAAATCACCTAAACGTGCCTTCAGGTGACATCATGAAAACTAAAGAACCTTTTATGGGTCGAATGACTCGTTTTAGTACAGGTGAATTAATATTCATGAGCACGAAGTGTCACGTTAGGCTGAAACCCGTCGTGGTTACGGCAGGGGGGGGGGTTCCCGCCTGAGACGTGACGTGACGCCTTCGGGGATTTCCAGCCCGTGAGGGAGCCAATCAGCAGCAGCTGCGAGGCAGCCAATCAGCAGCGGCCGCGAGGCAGCCAATCAGCAGCGGCTCATGACAAAACCTGAGACCGTAGAAATACACACAGCTCAGTCCCACTCCCTCATTCCCGCACATGGCCCCAGTACGTCCCGGCGCCTCCGCGGAGCTGACACGCCGCCTCTGGGCCGGGCTGTAGACAGGCGAGGGAACGATTCACAGCTTTGACGCCACCTCTGTTTGAGAGGAGAGGAATAAGTCCTGAATTCTTCCGCTTTGGGAAAGAAACGTCACCGCCAAGTTTGAAGGCTCTCGAGGAGTCACCTCGCGCGATGAAAGACATGGACATCTTAAACGGGACCTCTGGTAGGTTTTATAAATCGTGTTTTTGTTTGTTTTTTTAGATTAATGTAGTTTTTTCTTTCCGTGTGTGACTGCGAGAGCTGACATCATCCTCAAACATGTGATTTCTCAAAGCAGAGGAGCCAACACCCAGCCTCGGGATCCTCAGGCCTGGCTCTACCTCCCACTTTCAGTCCTCCTCGTCAGACTTCGGTAGGTCTCTTTTTGCTCTATGTCATGACGGCCAAACGCAAAGTGTTATGCCCTGAGCTGACCCCAAGCCAGGCGCAGCAGAAAGAAAACATCAGCAGAGGACTTCCTTATTTTTGTGGCTCTGAGTTGCAAATCTAAGAAGACGTGGCAAAAAAAAAAAACATTTTATAGTTAGAAACGTGCAACGATTGCGTCATTAATCACTTCATGTTCTCTGGTAGTTGCCAGAAAAGACCTAATTAAAGCACAACAGACTTTTTCTCATTTCTTTTACAGTGAGAGATGACATACCCCCTTCCAAATAAACAGAATGTGTAATAACAGGGCACAGCTGTTAAATTGCTGTCCTCCAGGGCTGCTTTCCCTCAGGTTGTAGGTGTTCCCCTGTTTCAACACACCAGTTGTACACCAGGGTCCCATTAACAAGCATGTGCACGGCTCAACCATGTTTGGAATAGACGTATTTACTCAGAATCGGGTGGGCAGAAGCAGGGGAACGGCTAAATCCAGACAGGAGGGCGGCCCTCGAGGACTGGAGTTTGACAGCCCTGAAGTAGAGCGTCAACACAGCTGGGCAGCTGTTGCATTGTTTTAAAAACTGGTTTTAAGAAAAAAAAACGTGTCAGTCGTTCCTTCCCTCCTAGCGCTCAGAACAGCCGGTGTCCTTTGCCATAGCTCTGAGGCGCCTCACATTCTTTTCATCTGTGTGAATGTAGACCTGATCGAAGAAATTATCAACAACAACCTGCCCGGGCCGCCGCCGCCGCCGCAGGACGGCCTCTGCCACGCAGCCCGGAGCCAGAGCCACGGAGCCCCTCAGCAGAGCCCCCCCGCGGCCTCCAGGCCGGTCCTGGTGGCCAGAGGCACGGCGTGCAAGGTGAGCATGCTCTGGTGTTATTATCGGTTACTGCTTTGTTTTGTTTCCTGTGTCGTTGAGAAGCCGGAAGGGTTTATTTCAGTTGTGGTTTTTCTTTTTTCACGAGCGAGGCGTAAGGCTGATGGTTTAATTCTGAGTCACTGTCGACAGTATTAATGAAAAAAGGGAGACTGTTGGACGCAGCAAGAGAGGTCCTCAAATTTCTTTTTGGGTGGGAATCATCCGCCATATTATCTGCTAATGTTTGTTAGATGTAGTATAGTAGCTATTTCTTCATTAAACAGGATAGAAGTTCACAAAGGTGAGACATAATATGTAAGTAATAATTACAATGGTGTGTCTTCGATGCTGGTTTTCATCTTTCAGCTTGTAGTAAAATGGATTGTCCAGGCAAAATTAACTTAAATGCAATAACTAAATATAAGTAAATCTGCAGACACGGTGGGTAATGAAAGGAAGACATTCAGCTTTTTCTTCTCTAAATGTAAGCAAATTGCATTAGTGGCAGATCATTATACTCATAACCTCACTGCTTGGTACAGTTATTATTATTATCTATCTTGCTCCGCTGACTCGGATGCGAGGGCGTTCTGCTCGGGTCATTGATCTTTTCTCACTTCTGGCAAAATATAGTCAGGCTGATGTGATTTAGCTTTTTATTTCTCAACACTTTCAGATACTGTAAAGACTCAACGTTCTGTTCTTACTGCTCAAATTGTCTGGTCTTGTATGACAGCACCTGTCCTGATAGTTAAAAAAAAAAAGCTTTGTCACATTAAGGATTTATAACCTGTGTATTGAGTAACAGAGCGTGGGACGTCTGATGTTTGGTCGCCACTCCGAGCAGCGTTTGGGCAGTAAAAAACAGGTCGGGCTCTTAGTAGAAAGCACGTGGTTTACAGGCATTAGGGAGATGTTGTAATCCGATATGACTGCAGCCGCAGCGACGCTTTGACCTCCGCTGGCAGATGATAATGAAGTGCTCCTGAAACAGGTTTTGCTCCATATGCGTAGATGCAGCTGCTTGTGTGTAAATAAATAAAGCTTGCCGAAGAGTTCTCGGTGACACACCTCCTCAGCAATGCCTTCCCTACCGGAGGGAGCTGAGGGGGAGAAAGAAGCTGTGTAATCTGACTCCTGCCTTCAGTCTGCCGTTGTTTCTGTTCACTAGCCAAACCCACTAGAGGTGAAAGGTCACATTTTTCCGCCCCGCGCCGTGCCTGCTATTGGCGGATCGGCGTCGGGCTGAGCTGACTTCCTGTTCCTCGTTCGCTGCGGCTCGGCCTGCCAGGCCTTTGTTTGGATTGAGTGTTTTACAGTGTACAGGTACTCCGGGGCGAGCACCCTCGCACTCACACAGCTTTGGCACGGCAGGAAGTCGCAAGAAATGACCTCATACCGTGGCATCACCCTTGTCCCTGCAGCGAGGCTGTAATGATCTCAAGCTGATTAACGGCTCCACGGCTGAGAAAAGGAGTCAGACTCTTTGTTCCCCGCAGGTTTGATCCTTTATCTGTCGTCGTATCAGTACTCCCAGAAGGGCTCAGACCTTCACATCTTTGAGCTATGCCGTCTTTTACATCATGTCGGGGCCTGTCGGAGCCCTCTCTGGGCAGCGGTGAGCGCATAAAGTTGGGGGGGGGGCAGAAAAGGCAAGTAAGCAGCAGAAAAGCACTGAACATAAAGTGTGAGTGGAAACAGAAAGCTCAGTGGTCTGCGGTGTAACGGAAAAAAGAAGCGATCAGATGCATGGAGAGGGAGGAGCACATGGGGGATGCTACGCGGGTATAGAAAGCACATGCATGACGAGAAAACAAGCAGCAGGTCGCTTTAGCTGCCGGGCGTCACCCTGTCGTGGCTCGAAGGACTACCTGAGGAAGATCTGCTTCTCAGGTATTCGCCCGAAAAGTTGCTTTGGGGCCGTTTCTCAGATTAGGAGTCGATGTTGATTTTAATAAGTAAACATTTGTAAAGGGAGTGGGAGAAGTGACGTCTTTCAGTTTCAGTTTGGAGCTGGTCTCATCTTCCCGTTTGGTCAGGTCTGGAAGAGGAGCTCATCTACTCGCGTTTTTAACTGCGTACCATGCGTAAAACTTTACACGAGTCTGACTTTATTCGCAACCCATGTATTAAAAACGTTGCTTCATTGGTGCTTTTCTCAACAGGCAAACTTCCCAGCGATGCAGCACAGCGGGCGCCCTCCGAAACAAATGGCATCCACCAATCCTGCCCCTTCCCGGGTGAACTCCTCCACAAA